AGATGCATTCTACTGATGAGTTGTACGTAGATGCATTCTACTGATGAGCTGTACACAGATGCACTCTAGCGATGAGCTGTACATAGCCCAAAGATGACCCAAGGTTGATGACAACAGAAGTCACAGAAAAAGCATTTAATTTAATCAACAAGCCATATAAAATCAGTATAAAACTATGCACATTAGAACAGATATTTTGAAATTGAGAAAGGGATTCTAACAGATAAGACACACAATAGTGTTAATTCTTCTTGTAGTAATACTAAGGATCGGATTTAGGACCTTGTACATATCAGGCAGACACTCTGTGAATGGGCTACATCTCTAAACTTTCCTTTTTTCACTTTCCCCCTTTGACTCAAGGTCTTCCCAAGTTGCCCAGTTTGGCCTTGAACTCACTCTGTAGCCCACACAGACCTTGAATCCATAATCCTTCTACCTAAGCACCTGCTATCAAGCCTGGCTATTTGTGCTTTGGTGTTTTGGAAGAGTCTTGCTGCCAGGATGACATTAAATACTATACAGTCTAAGTTGGCCTGTAACTCATGATCAGGCACCAAGATCAGAGGTACAATTGAAGATGGATGAAGATCTGGATGTGGTAGCACACACCTCTAATTCCAGCACTGGAGGAGGCAAGGAGGATCAGTTCAAGATCAGCTTTGGCTACACAGGGAGTTTAAGGGTAGCCTGGGCTACATAGATGGCTGAAAAATGGAAAGTTTACAAGTCAGTTCAGCTAAGCATTAAATGATGTGGAGAATTTTACACAAAACATGGTAATTTAAGCATTAACACTAACCAGAGCACAGATGTTGAAATTTGATGAGATAGTTAAGTTGGATTTCCCACCCCTCCACGAGTCTCTGTAGGCAGTTAATATTTACTGGGGAGAAAAAGACGCCTTACCCAACGGGTAAGCTGCTCATTCTGCTGTAACGACCTTCATCCCATTCCTGCCAGCAATCCTAATTGCTCACTGGGTCATGAAGAGGAAGATGAGGAAGAAGAGGAAAGAAGAAGTGGAGGGAGGAGGATGAGGAGGAGACGAGGGGTCTAGTCGGGCAGAGGAAGGAAAGCAGTGAGGGGATAGAGATGGTAAAGGAGATGAAGATGATCAACATACATTATATCCATGTGTGAAAACTGAAATATGTCATAACAAAGCAATCGTGATCTGTGATTAATACACAGCAATAAAAACTAGTGTTTGGACTCTCAGATAAGAGGAGGAAGAACAGAAGGGAGAGCTTGAAGAGAAGGTAAGAGAGGGATGGACGCAGAGCAGGTGGGTCACCTATAGAAGTTGGTTTTGGGGGGGACAGTAGCAGAGATGGGTCTTGGGTCAGCTGGAAAGCTGCTTAGGAGGGCCATGGTGGTGCAGGAGGATCATGAGTTTGATGTCACCCTGGGCTACACAGTGAGACCACCTCAAAATAAGACAAAGTGAAATGAAATGAATGCCAGGGTGGTGGCGCAAGCCTGTCATCTCAGTTATTCAGGTGGCTCAGGCAGTGTGAGGCCAGTCTGCACAACAAGTTCAAGGCCAGGCTAGGGAACTTAGTGATTCCCTAGCTAAAGGTAACAAGAGTCTGGGGATGTGGGTCATCGGTAGAGGACTTGGCTGCTGGCATAACATAAGGCCCTGGGTTCAATCCCCAGTCCTGAAAAAAAACCAAACCAAACCAACAAACCAAAAGAAGCCATGAGCAGCCTAATGAACTCTTCAGCAGAGAGGCTGCAAAATTAAACATTTTAGACAAATCTGGTTTCACATTCAGAAAGGACTGGAAAGAAAATAATTAAAAAATAGTAAGGTCCTTTAGGAGGCTACTGTAAAAAATTAGGGGCATATGTACAAGCAGGAAGAGTTAAGGAAAATAAGTAAAATAGGAGAATACTTGGGAGGCCAAGGCAGCATAATAGATTCCAAGTTTTAGGCCAGTAAGAGCTATGTAGTAAGACTACTGTAAACAAAATAAAACAAACAAAAAGCCCCAAGGATATATGAATGAAGTATGGTCTTAAAAACAATCACAGCTGGGTGTAATCATGCACACCTTTAATCCTAGCACTGGGGAGGTAGAGGCAGGTGGATCTCTGAGTTCTAGGTCAACCTGGTCTACAGAGTAAGATCCAGGACAGCCAGGGCTAGACAGAGAAACCTTGTCTCAAAAAAACCAAACCAAAACAACAACAAAAACAACCATGGGGAGAACAGAAATCACTCTAGATTTGATGAAGATGCCAGAGGAATGGTGAAATTGATAGAAACGGGTAACACACACAAATGTATGGCATACTGGTCAAAGTGGGTTTTCAGTCTCTAATCTGTTTTTTGTTTCTGTTTTTGAAAACTCACTCACAATTAGCTTCTCAGCTATGAAGTACTTAGCTTCTGAAAGCCTCAGATCCCCTCTGAGGACTTCCTGCCCTATATCATTAGGAGGACCAACTGTGCCAGTGTATTTGGAAGAACACTGCACAGAGCCCAGTGCCTAACAAGCTCAGATGCTTTATTCTAATGAAAGAGTGGTCCATTTTTCAGAAAAGATACCGAATGTGATTGACTTTAGGCACTCATGAGTATGAGTGGAAGAGAGATTTGAATTCTTAACATCTATCAAACTTAACAACAGCTTCGACATTTAACATGGAGTATTAGTTGTTAGTGAATACAGAATCTAAATTATGGACGAGTCATGTGAGGAAACTCACCTGCACATCAGGAGAAGTGCTGTCCTGAGACAAAGTATAAAGGACTCCAATGCAGGAACTCAAGTGCTGAGGACCTATGCCCCCTAAGTACCTATGCAGGGATCCCAGAGCCAGGGAGTGGCCTGTTCTGCTAACCACATCTCTTGCTGACTTCAACCTGCAATTATAGAAATAAAAATAAAAACAAGCACAGAAAAGATACACCCAAACAAAACTCATCATGCAGGGGCCCAGTTTGTGAGGGCTAACTATCTAAGTCCAACCCTAGGACTCAACCTATAGAAGGAGAGGGTCTATTTCCATAAATTGTCTACTGAAGTCCACCTGCACACACATGCACGCTGTGGCACATGTGCACCCACACACAGACACTAACACCCACATAAATATATACACACCCTTGCATTTGCATTCACACACATACATGAGTAACCACAAACATACATGTGCACCACTTACAAATGTATAAATATACACAATAAATGAAAAATAAAAAATATTTCAATACATGTAACTTGTTACATAGGCAAAACTTTTCCTAAGAAGAGTTAGAAAAGTAGAAAGGCATCTTTCTTGTGGTGGTCTGAAGGAAAATGGCCCCCAAATGGAGTGGCACTATTAGGAGGTGTGACCTTGTTGGAGGAAGTGTGTCACTGTGGAGGCTTTGAAGCCTTATATCTCAAGCCACACTCAGTGAGAGAGACTCCTTTCTGTTGCCTTTGAAAGATGTAGAGCTTTCAGCTCCCTCCCCAGCACCATGTCTGCCTGAACACCATCATGTCCCACCATGATGATGATGGACTAAACCTCTGAACTGTAAGCCACCAAATTAAATGTTTTCCTTTATAAGAGTTGCCGTGGTCATGGGGTCTCTTCACAGCAATTGAAACCCTAAGACATTGCCTTTTCTTTTTAAAAAAAAATTAAGACAGGGTCTCAAGTGGGGCGGTGGTGGCCTGTGTCTTTAATCCCAGAACTCAGGGTTAGCCTATAAGCTAGTTCCAGGACAGCCAAGGCTACATGAAGAAACTCTGTCTCAAAAAGCTGAGAGAGAGAGAGAGAGACAGAGAGACAGAGAGACAGAGACATTGTGTAGATCAGGGTGCCCTTGAACACACAGAGATCCACCTGTTTCTGCCTTTTAAGTGCTGAGATTAAAGGTGTGCACCACCACACCCCACCATTTTCTCACCATAACATTTCAGAGATATACACATACTATTTAGCACATATACTATAATGACACATACATATATACTATATATAACATATATACACCATATACACTATAGTGTGTATATACAGTGTATATGTCATTATATATAATGACACATATATATGATGACATATACACTATATATGACATATACACACACTATATATATATATACACTATACATTGTATATGACACATTCACAGATACACACAGTTTATAAGGTCGGCACTCATACTGTTTTATTATTAGGTTACACTCTGACTCCCTCACTTCAGTTTCAGGACTCTGACACTAAAACTCAAAGAGAAGTTAGTACTTATTGGGACTGTCCTACGCGCTCTTCAGGAACTGCAGCTCTCGTTCCCCCCAACAGTCCCGGGGCCAGCCATCACTGCCGCATTTGACAGGTGGGTTCAAGAGGGCATTGGAGTCCCCCAGAGTAATACGGCAGTGAGATTCGAGCCAGGGCCAAAGTGCTCACGTTACCATCACAATTACTAACCCATGTTTACAATGAACTCATAACCATGAACTGCTTTGGAGACAGGGTCATATATGCTCAAGCCACACCCAGGCTGGGGCTGGTCTGGAAGGAAACCAGTGGCAACTTTGCTTCTGTTCCTCGAGGTTTATGAGTATGTGCTACCACACCAGGTATAATCATGGACTTTATTTATAATTGTTTTGGAATTATATTCTAAATTATACCCCTTTCTCTTGAACAGTCTTAAATAGGTCGGACCATATTACTGACCTATCTTCAGAATAGTTTACGACAGCTGGCTGGAGGGATTGAGTGGCCTTCCTAAGTTCCGGAGGTCTTGTGGCCTGTGTCTACAGCTTTCCCTTCCTACAGACTGCTCTGCTCTGTATCACGTGGACTTCACCTGACAGAACTCCCACTGGCCTAGAGTCTACTTAGTGACGATATATGGCCAACTGTAACACCCATCTAACAGTGGTCAGTCTTCCGACCAAGAGGGCTTCCTTCGTCTAAAACACTCACAGTCAACTCTCCTTTTTGGGTTAAACTGTAGAACAACATTCTTACTAGTTCCATTAAACGGCAAACTGTATCCCATTTTGTTAACAGCCCATGAACATAAGAAATCCACTTACTTGTCAAAGCTAACTTGAGCTAATCCAGCAGTAAAAACTCCATCATCAACCACTTGGGCCAGTCTAGCCCATGCTTCTGAAGCGGCACATCTCAAAAGGGGGTTGGGACTTTCTAGGGCTCCCAACACTAATGTAAGGACAAGTCTTCTTACTTCTGGACCCAAACTTCGTTTAGAGCCAGCCACATACTAAAGTACATGAAAAACAATTAAAATGTACAATTACAGCACGTGTTCTGATCTAGTTTGGAATATATATTCTTCTCAATCAAGTATGTTCATCACTTAAAAAAACACAGAAGTCATTATGATGTCCATAAAATGAACGACTACTGAATACTATCATGTTCTGCTGAGGAACAGTGAGATTTTATAAAGGCAGCAGCTGGATTTGGTCCACAGGTCCCAGCCCACCGGTGCCTGTCCCAGGATATCAGGTTTAGTCTGCTACGGCACGGCACTAAGCCAAGGCCAGCTGCTAACAAGCTTTATATGGAGAAAAAATAAAGGACACCTCTCAGCCCTAAGACATTTTCATCAGAGATTAAGAAAAATGAGTAATAAATTTCTCTAGAAGCATCAGCATAAAACCAACTTAGCTACAAACTTAATTTCAAAATAGTAAGTAAATGTTAATTTTAGCAAAATTACCTTCAATAAATTAGAAACGGCAGCAACAACGTGCATCTGAACCGTTTGCTGACGAGCTCCTTTGGTGTGCTTTACGCTGTTCAAAAGCTGTTCCAGTATCAGAAACCTGGAATCAGAAGCCACAAGAGTTAAATGAAGCTAAGACTGGACGGTCGGTCAGTCAGCTGTGGAGCAGTCCAAGGCCTCTGCTGATTCTCCTGTTACACTACCAAAGTTTTTTAAGGAAAAAAGATACACCATAACCAATAGAACAATATGTTTATTAAGGGCCATTCCAGCAGCAGGGAAGAAAGCATTGTTTTATGAAAAAAAAAAAAAAAAAAAAAGAAGACAACTGTCCCAGAGGTTTTTTCCTTGGGAAAATTCTGTAGTAGAATATTATTTTAAGGTGTGTTACTTTTGTTTATGTTGCATTTGTTTAACTCTGTGAAGCTGTGTTACTGTGCCTGTGTAAAACACCTGATGGTCTAATAAACAACTGGCCAATATCGAGGCAGGAGAAAGGATAGGCAGGGCTGGCAGGCAGAGAGAATAAACAGAAGGAGAACTCTGGGAAGTGGGATTTGAGATCTAGGATGAAGAAGTCAGAAAAGGAGGAGGACTCCAGGGGCCAGCTACCCAGCTACACAGCAAGCCACTGAGCAGAGTAAGATATAGAAGTAAGAGAACGGGAAAAGCCCAGAGGCAAAAGGTAGACAGGATAATTTAAGTTAAGAAAAGCTGGCTAGGATCTAAACCAAGCTAAGGTTGGGCATTCATAAGTGATAATAAGCCTCCATGTGTGGATTTATTTGGGAGCTGGGTGGCAGGCCCCACTTCCAAAAAAGAGCAAAAACCCCCAACAACAAAATTCAGCTACTTCAGTACCCATAATTTATATCACTTTTTTGCCCAGTTCTTATAACTTCCAGTCTATTTTTCCTGAAACATGGGAAAACATGTTCTTTAAGTTATTGGAGGCAGCTGCAATTGTGAGAACACAGCCCAGGAGCCGGTTTTCCACGCTTGTGTGGAAGGGGCTTGTGGTTCTAGCTTAGAGTCTACGCAAAGTGGGAACTACTGGAGGTTTCTGGGCCACTGGATGTCTCCACTAAGAGGACTGGGGACCTAGGTCTCCATGTCCTTTGCTTCCTGGCCGTGAGGTAGGTGGTTCTGCCCTGGCAGGCAGTTCCAACGTGACACGCATCCACCGACTCAACCACTCACTGAAACCGAAACCTCTGAATTGTGAGCAAAAATAAATGTTTCTTCTTATAAACTGATTGTCACAGGTATTTTTATTAGACCTACAGAAAGCTGACAAACAGAATACTATTATTTGAGAATATCCTAATTCACATATTCAATGTTGATAAATTACACAAAAATTTGTAATATTACAGAATTTGGCTTCTTACAAAGTAGCTTCCAAAAACCAGGCAGAGAGGCACAAAGCCTGCAATCCTAATAGTCAGGAGGATGAGACAGGAGGATCCTGAGTTTGAGGCCAGCCTGGGCTGGGTAGTGAGTTCAAGACATTCTATTTTTTGCCTTTTAAAAACAGAGGTTTTAATTCCTAATGTTGAAATTCAAGACTTTTACCTGTGAGACAAAGCACATCACCATCCTGTCAATTTCCCCTAAGACACCCCTCCTGAGGTCAATACTTCCTCTCCCCCTTTAAACTAAGAAGCACAAAGAACACTGCCGAGTATTCTGTGGGCTGGGAATTGAGGGGCAGCACTAGCGCCTTGAGACACCCTGTGTTAGGTGTGTGGCAGGCAGTGAGATGCACAAAACAGCCGCTGCACAGTGCATGGCGGGGGAGGGCAGATGGGCCCCCTGATGTGACCCAGCACAATGTCCCCAGCGCTGGGTCAGATCTCTACATTTAAAATTTTCTTTATTTATTGGTGTGTGTGTGTGTGTGTGTGTGTGTGTGTGTGTGTGTGTGTGTGTCTCGGGGTGTCAGGGACAACTTTATGGGGCTAATTCTCTCTCTCTTCCTTGAGAGTTTCTTCTTCCCGTGTATTTGTTTACGAGGGAGTCCATGGGTGTCACAGCGTGTGCACAGTCAGAGACACCCTTCAGCTCTCTTCTTCCCGTGTATTTGTTTACGAGGGAGCCCATGGGTGTCACAGCG